ATCTATCTATCTATCTATCTATCTATCTATCTATCTATCTATCTATCTATCTATCTATCTATGTTTCTTTGTAACTTTCTTTCTATCCATCTATCTATCTATCAATTTCTATCCATCTATCTATCTATCTTTCTTTCTTTCTTTTTTTCTTTTTTTCTTTCTATCCATCTATCTATCCTGAAGTGACTTAATGAATTAGGTAATAACAAAGTTATAAAAATATATAAAAATGCTACCGAAACCCCATCTTAGCTTGCTGTTGTGTTCTATGGGGGCAAAACAGATGAAAGATCAGTACAGACTCATCGAGTGAAGGAGGACTGTGCACTACACAACTTTAAGAAAAAATTATCTGCAAGCCTAAAATTTAGGAATACAATATTTCACACAAAATAAAAGGTAAAAATGGGATGAAATTATAAAGGAACTCTTTGAAGCCCATCTTTCCTTCTTAGAAAACAGTGTTCAGAGTAATTGGAGCCGATGAAGGATGATGAGTAAATGTAAAAAGCTCCCGCGTGTGTGCATGACTGTGAAGAGATGTGAATGTGTGTCAATACAAGCATATATGTACACGTGCGTGAGTGCTAGTATTTACGGCTTAACAACGTAATAACTTATAAATATCTACAATCTAAAATGATAAGTAATAAAGATCACATGAATGCAGAAATTCAACACATAATTCACTCACCGGCTTAAGTATCCACTTTTGTTGCATGCCCTCTTCATCCCATACCTTTCTCAGGGCTTCCAGGTCGCCGGGGAGACAGAAGGTTTGAGGTATGAAGTCGAAATCTTTTTTGCCGTACACTTGTTGCATCTTCAAAAGGTTCTTCCAGAGCCGATCTTTCCTGCCGAGTTGAAAGGAGCAGGGCAGATGGTTCACCTGCAAAAGGAGCAAAAGGAGCAAAAGGAGCAAAGTCTGCATTAGCCAATTCGGGCCCCAGAGCCGAGCCAGACCGAGCTCTGTCGAGGCATGTTCGTCGGGCGTTGTGGAGCCGATCTCGGAATAAGAAAACTCTCGGTCGGATACCAGTCTCATGGTGCTTGGCTGCCGAAAATGGCAGGCCAGTCCTGAACAAGAGTTCCAATCTGACTGGGTCGCAGAGGGTGATGAAGGCTGTGATAGAAAAACTTTCCTAAATTCAGATGAGTACACCCAACGGTTCCATAGAATTCAATCTGATTTCTAATTTAATTTCTATTTTGAATGAAAGTGTGTCAGTGTGTGTGTGTGTGTATGTGTATGGTGAGGAGATTCGAAGGCTAATCCCACCAGCTGCTGATTAGATTTGCTGGAACATTCTTGTTGTGCTAAGCGGGATAACACTTTTCCAACCATGTTCAAGCTGAAAAGACAAGAAAACTCCCCCACCAATCCATAAATACTCCACATATATACTATCTATCTATGCTTTATGATGAGATACAGAGTGGTTCAATTAGCTCGAGCTATATGTCAGTCTAGAAGCATGTTCAGTTGTCTGTTTGTCTGTTCATATGTGTCTTTATATGTTCGTGTATGCACGAGAACGGCAGTGATAGCTCAAAGTTGTTGGGACAAAACGGGACATCACTCCTCGGTCGTCAAGAGTTGATGACCACTACCATCCCTATTGACGCTTAGTCAAGAGGAATCTACTGTCGTCTTTTTGTGGGATCGATCTTCGAATCTCTTCACCACACAAACACACAAACACACACACACACAGACGCTCGAAATGGAAGTGAGATAGGCAACTATAAAGACAGAGCTTCTTCAAAACCCAAATTTTCTTTAGATTTAACATGGCGTTGCTTCCCAAAAGTTATTCCAATCCAAACTAGACTGGTATAACTAGCACACCAGACGGGACTCGAACCCAAGTCATGGTACTACAACATATACTCTCGACACCTTAGCCGGCCGGGCTTTTCCCATATCACAACGTTTTAGTGGGATTGTGGATAAGGCAAACTTGCATTCTATTGTTACATGACTTTACATTTCGAAGGAGAAGTTGATTGGAAGCAATTCGTGAAATGGTCTGACCGTAAACCAAAGTAAGACTGACGCAAAATGGAGTGAATGCTGTTGGCTTGTGCCCAGAAGTCCTCATTCCACCGTCCCGCGACTACGACGGACACATGATTGGCCTTCATCCGTCTCGGCGTGGCAAACAGCGTCATAGTGAAAACAGCCCATCACATACAATAACCCCAAAAGGTTAACTCCGAACAATCACACTTACTTTAGATTTCCAACTTTGCCATCCTAATGATGAATTCTATAATTTTGTTGGCTACTTCATGCCTGACGTACATTCTTGGTGCGTTTTCTCGTAAAGTGCGCTTTCTTGTTCTGATCAAGTCTACCAAATTGAGGCATAGGAACGGGTTCATCGGGGTCGTGAGACGGCGATCCGAGAACTGCTTCGCAACAGTCTCTTCTCCACTTCGCGGCTGCCGGTGAAATTATTACACGAATTCTTTCTAACCAACATTTTATTTAAAGTGGAAAGTCATGTCGCAATGTATCCCCAAGGAATTGTTCGAAACCCTTTTTTTTGGTATCTTCGAACATGCTATTTTGTCATCACACTCGACTAGGCCACTTATATTCATATGCCGGAAATCATCAGAGCAGGAACTCATTCTTGTCAAAGTCTCACGTCGAAAATCCTTTCCGGCTCCTGCTTACCTTTTATATATACTCATGACGATCCCTTCTCCATCAACTTTCATACGCAATGAAAGTCTCCTCAACGATGTTATTTCGGGGCATTCATCGAAACCGAGTTACTCTTGGGATAAAGATAATCTGCGAATCAAGGCCAAGTAATGTTGGATGGTGTTATGAGGCCTGCTCATTTGAGTGTGATAAAAACAGCACAATCTATGCCTAAATCCTTCTTGTTCAAGAATTAAGGATTGGCCTTCAAATGTACCAAATTCTCAGACTTGATTTAGAGGCTACAAGCAGGACAAGTGGCAACCGGACTTCAAATTACGTCCTGCCAAACAGGTTTAAGCATCAAGCCTTGACGACTGCAGATGTCTCGCAGAAAGCAGAAGTAATGTGCGAATACGACGACGCTATGACAACTATTCACCAATCCCACGGCAAGAGTTGTTCAGACCTGCAATGTCTTTTAGGCTGGCAGACTTGAGAGGACAATAGGCAAATTCAACCGACAACGAATCACACAGAAGACCTTGCTTTGCCTTCTCCGCCAAACCGATTCTGGCCCAGTTTCGAGCTCGTCTCTCATCGCCTCCTCAGTGCCACCAACCAGATTCGAAGCGTGGACGTGCGGTTTCACGGGCCGACTGTACAGCAGACAGAAAAAA